GATGGGCGGAAGTGGTGTAGTGACAAGTGGCGCGCTTACCACGCGAGCGGTCCGGGGATCAAATCCTGGGTCGTGAGTCGCCCGGGCCAACCAAGCCTTCCATCCCTCCGGGGTCGGTTAATTGGTACCAGACTTGTCTGGGAGGATAAAAACACTGACTTGTACATCGGCTGGCCCCCGCAAGTCATTGTATAGGCCACACGCATTCAAACGCCAAACAACAACTAAATCAAACGAAGGCAGTATGCGGCCGTCATTCACCAAAAGAGTTTGATCAACGGCAGATGCTTTATCTTTTTAAACTTTATGACATCGATCTGGCTCGAGCTTGATAAGGTATATGTATAGCCTTCTCGAATCAGCCGCTGTGGCTGAGGTAGAACTCTGTCGACTTGTAGTTCAGGTAGTGTCGTCACGGGGCTACAGGGTTTACAGGGTTGCCTATGACTACCCTGCCAGGCAAGCTAGTCATTAAATGCTGTGGTATTCCTTCTACGTCGCTTTGGTGGCTCTTGAAAGTGAGGAATCTATGTTGGAGTTCGAAGTGGCGGTCGCAGCATCCACTTACCCACTGAAACTGTATGACTCGAGTTTCCTGATACTTTTCGTGAGCACAAGGCTCTTTACCCCTAACCCTCTCTTCCCCTCCTGTGTGGATGTCATCTTTCGGAGTCGAGGGCGTATACTGATTTTGGAAAAATGGTCTGGTGTCGCTCAGCCCTCTCTGGAACTATGGAAAAGCCGTTTAGATTGGGCATGTTCGAAGCAGGTTTTGATTCAAGCCATGGGTGTAGTAGTAGGTACCGTTTCCCACTGCATGACATGATAATTGAGGATCAGTAGAGAGGAAGAAAGTTGAGAAGACGTGCTGAAGTGCAAGAAGAAAGCTCTGAGTTAGTTTGTCAGAGTATCGTTCGAGAAGAGGCATATTAATGGCAACTCCTCGCAAGCGTCCTTCACCTTATTCTATTCGAAGTTTTTCTTCCATTTCTGGCTGCTAATTTCTCAAATAACTCAGGCCTGACTGACTGACACCAGTAAGTCTTCAAGCTTAGCGGCATTTTGTTAGAGAGAGCTTTTTGTGCTGTAGAGTTGAGTGTGCAGTCTGGAGGAAAAGCTAATCAGAAGAAATATTTAGGGCAGGCCACTGGTGAGCCTCTGTGATGGAATTCCTCATACAAGTGGTTGGTATGATTAAAAGGCCACCTTTTAGCTGCCATTCAATTTAATAGGCTAACATTTTTGTGTATTAGGATAGTTCGAAACAGTCTAGAATTGTGTTGCCCGAGCGTGTGAAGGTAGTTTGGTAAGGTAGTCGTTTTACTCCCTTTTCTCGAGCAATGAAGTTCGTGATCTTGAGCCAAAACTTACCTCGTCATCAAATCGCAAAAATCGCTTGATTTGCTCGAGTGACCCAATCGCTGAATGCAGCAGTGCCCGTTGTGTCGATCTTTTATTTTGAGTGCGGACTTTCTGAATCCTCCCATCAATTGCGTGTTTGGGGTGGAAGGGCTACGGGTTGCTGTGAAACTTTGGCGGGTTCAGTTTTCGTTTTGAATTTTTCTTTTACCTTCGTCACTTCAAAAGTTTTGTTCATCCCATCAAATTCGTACCAACCGTAAGAGGAAAATTTGTTTTGTTTGACTTTTTTCACCTTTCTAATTTTCTATTCCATGGAATGGTCTGTTTCCAAGAATCGTATTCTTAAACATCTCTATTCGTTGTTATCATCAGAGTTGTGTTGTTTTAAAAATCTTATACTCATTTTCAGATGTGGTTTGTACGGATTCCACACGAGTAAAATTGAAATTGGGAGAAGAAGGCTATGGTGATTACATCCATGCGAATCACGTTACCTCTCCGCTGTTAACGACCAAGTTTATTTGCACTCAGGTATGTGGATTGTTCATTCTCACGTGATTAGAATGGGATTGTTCATTTCACACGGCCAAATATCTAGGTAAGGCCGAATAGCAAATTAATATTTCTGAGCAAGGGTGTCCACCAGCTGTAGCTGTAAGCATGATTTGACGGGGATGACTAATAGCTTCCATGGATTATGACTTCACTGATTTACGTCAAGGCAATGAACGTATGTTTGAAGGCCGAGAATGTTTTTTTTTTTTTTTTCGCAAATCGAGCTGTGAACCCGTGGTGTACGAATATGAAGGGTCAATCTGCCTGTCAATTCGCAAACAATGTGGGAAGCAAAAGAGATATCAGAAAGCCTCTGAAATGCGACTTTCCTTTTTGCAGCCGATTTTAGTGTATGTACGGTATCAGCGCTAACACTCGGCGGCATTTGGCCGTATTCTCAGTTGTTAATTTCGCATCAAATTCGACGATATTAATTCCAGAAATCTCTTCGTGGCGCTCATCCGGTAAGGGGGGCATAGCGATTAGAGCATTTCAAACCACGGAAAGCATATTATTTTATTGTAGACGTTCAGGACTAAGCCCTAGAAGGGAAGGAGTCCCCGGAGCAATCTTGGTTTTCCCCCGGGGGACTTCCTCCCCCCTCCTAGGCTTAGTCCTGACCTGCTGACTAGGTGAATATTACTTTTCGTAGACGTTAATGTCATCTAGTACAAGAATACATACATTACACAAAACACCTGAAGAAATAACATAGGAAAAAAGCTGATAGCAGCTCGTAACTTTAAAGGACTCCTTGAGCCAAATTGGCATTAGAGCAGACGTGCACCGCAATGCCCCCTCTTACCGGATAAGCGCCCTCTTCGTTATTTATGCTGTTATGAGCAATCGTAAGTCTTCCTTGCTCTGTGATGGGTAGCCCCGCAAAGGATGTGCCGACTCTATGGGGTGAACGGGGAACCTGGGTACGATCAGCCCTAGAAACTACTGTTTCTCAAGTTTGAGTTCCGAAATTGATGCAGGTTCACGGTTGTGGAGAAGTTTAAGCGACTCTCGAGACAGCGACATTTGGTTTTAATCATGGATTATTGTCAAGGCTGATTAGTTTAGTCGAGTTCATTGTATTCAAAGGATCTCATGATAACAAATTAGTTTCTGCTGATTACGGTCTGTTGAGCTCCAGTTCCTCTGGGCAATTAGCGAGAGCACCTGAAAGACTCATAACTCTGATTGTGAACCCTCGAGCGGAGAAGCGTCGCTTTAAGGAGGTGTGGCAGGCACTACTTGGAGGCAGGGCTGGGACGAACACCTTCCCCATAGGACTCCAGCTGCAGTCCCACGACTCGCCTCCATTCCACTTACTACTCCGAGGAGCGAGGCGAAAACTCGAAATTTTCGTAGAATTCTTCAAATTTCTTACGAATTTTCCAGAAGTTCTTACCAGTGTTCCTAAAAAAATCACATCAGTAGGCGCCTTCTAAAAATAATACCAATTCTACACAATGCGACGCCCTGATCTAAATACGACCTCCTCGTCCGGGAAGTCCTGACATTGCGCTCCTCCTTGATATCCAGTACTGAATGAGTTATTTGCGGCTAAGTGTAAAGCGCGAGCATCATTTAAAGGCAAAGTTCGGGCTCAGACCCACCTAAGAAGCCCTTACCATGGCTAGAAGTGCTGGGTACGCAAGTGCAAAGGTAGCGCCACCTTTCTACATCGAAACGCGTCACTAGGACCCTAGGCGCCATGGACTTCTAACAGACTCCACCAAACTTAACATGGTCCGCCCACCGTTCGATATCTTGTCTGCGTCGCTGCGTTGATCTGCTATGCTCTCTCTTCTCGGACTTCTCTACCGCTCTCCGCGCTCACATTATCTCTCATCTCCCTGCCTGTCTTTTGAACTTCTCCACAGCATAGAGCAAAATGCTCGTATTTCCTGTGTATTTCAGGATTTTCTTTCCTTTTTTCTCCACTGGCGGTCCACCTCCCACCCCTACTTTCACATTTGAGTGGAATCACCCCATCAATTTAATCCTGAATTCTTGCCTTTAAAGAGCAAGATTCGTAGATGCAAACGATTGCTAAGACTACTGAATTGCCCCGGCAGGGGATCGACTTTCAGAAATTACACGAATCTCCTCTTTTATGGAAGCTGGACAAATTTCAGCCTATAATTTTAAAGCGGCTGATGCGCCCGTGACTTTTTGCTCGTGGGCATCTCTATTGAATGTCTCTTTCAGGGACCTTTACAATCTACGATCCACGACTTCTGGCGGATGATCTTCCAAGAGCGGATAGAGTCCATTCTAATGCTCTGCAAGTGAGTTGGTTGTTTTTTTGTGTAGTCCGGCGCAGAGAATCATGCGCATTGAAGACGGTTCAATTAAGTAGGCAATATGAAAATATAATAATAAATAATAATCAAACTGGTGTTCGATCCAGGAGGATTCCTCTCCAGCTCTCTGAAAAATGATATTTTAACACTAGATCCACTCCATTTTTTTGGTTTTCGCGTTTCGCAACCCGTGGTTTTGAATAGGTACATATCTTATGTCCACGTGCAAGTATTAATAACCTGCTATTATTGAACTTGTTTGCTCAAGGCTGAGGTAAGAGGTGGCTCAATGATGGAATATTTCAGACCATGCGAAGATGGTCGGCCGAAGTGTTCCATCTATTGGCCAGAGGCGATAGGAGAGACGACGTCATTCGATACGGTCGTAGTGAAAAACACCGGTGAAGACGTCGACGAATTCGCCACCACGACGTCGCTGGTGGTGGAGTTGAATCCAGCATACGGTATGGTATGCGTATACCGTTTTTTTTTCGCTTTTTCAAGCTTAATTCACGTTTTTTTGCTCCTGCATTTACCTCAAGAGACTGTGTCTGGATGGTGATTAGATATGACCGCCCTTCGCAGCTCCACTTCGATTAGATATTGTCAGTTCGATTAGATATTATGAGTGGCCCCCTCAAACTACATTTTCACCCATGTGTACCATCAGGATCAGCGCCAATGGCCCACCTGTCTTGTGCTCTTGAATGTGCAATTTCCTTAGCTCCCATATTAGCCACTTATAGAATCAAATTTCACAATTCTGTTTACTATGC